GCTTGAAAGGATCCCTGAATCTATAATAGGCCTATGCCAATTTAATGAATGAATCAAGATTGCCACAAGATAAAGCATAACAACCAGTATTGGATAACTGGATTTTACCACTACAAACTAATGTCTTCTCTCCATGTGTGATGAATAATGAAGAAAAACGGAAAACCAAAGACTTACACCCAAGCATTCCATCATCTGGTAGTAAGCTCTACCATGCAAAGGAGTATGTCCTTGTCGCGATTCTGAAAAGTATCTAGTCCTGAAAGAATATCACATGAGGTTACAGTGAGAAGTAACTATGGTTATAAATAGACAGCAAAACATAAACATGATAACAAAATAGAGATAGGTAGACTATATACCACTCTTTATAACCTGGGTCCACAGTGAAACCATACATATCCACTGAATCGCAAGTCGAGAGAGCAAATTCAAGAGCCTTGAGCCCAGTTCCTTTGGCTGCTGAGCCAAATGAGGCACCAAGCATCAAGTACACAGGATTTATTATTGGAACTTCCTGCAGAGAAAGAAAAATCCTCGAATGAATTTCGAAGACAGAGAACAGATTACAGATATTGATAACCAAAAAGTAAGGGTAAATCAAGTAATAGTATACAAACCCGGATCATCTTGTTCATAATATCATGAATTGTTGTTTTTACAAGCAGGACCTCCTGCTTTTTTTCTGTATAATATACAAGGATCAGAGAGATTGGAGTATCTATTTGCAAGCATCAGAAATAGAAAAACAAGGGTGATGATAACCATGAAGAAGAAAAAACAAGAAAACAGCTGTACAGTACCATCCAACTCCACGACTTTGTCAAGGGCTTTTGCTGACCCTCGATTAAGAAGACGAAATGTACTTTTCTCTCCCACATATTCCTTGTAGTTCTGCAAGAAGATATTCCAAAAACAAGACTGATGATAAGTGAGACTGCAGAGGGTACAAAAGAATTCAAAGTTAAATAAAAAACGAATAAGTAACCTCAATTGGAGCACCATTTTCTCTAATAACAGCATCATAAGTATCTATCTCCTTTCCGAACTTTGTTTTTAAAAGATCACCAGAGTTCCCAATAACAGCACATCGCTCAAACTGCCGGGGAAAGTATGGTGGTGTTTCAGGAAGCACCAATGAAAGCTTCTCGATGCATAAAGATTTATTCTGGCAACGATTACTGCATCAAAGTGTGAGTTTCATTACGGCCATGAAGAAACCACAGCATTTTACACTATGTTTATAAATTACTTGATATATTATTAATTGAGACCAATCAATTTTGCAAGTTTTGAGCTTCTGACTATGAAAAAGGATAATAATATTAACACCAAGTATCGTGCACTTCATCCCTCGTCTAAAGTCAGTCACAACTTACAGTTGTATTCCTTTATTGATTCTGCGCCATGCGTAATCCTCCCATCCATTTGGTAAGGCATCAATGTATTCCTTGGTGAGTATGGTAGAGCTATTCCTGACCTGGTCAAACAACCCACCAATTAATTCATCACTGTAAAGACTAAAAAACTTATGTGAGCTGAAAGTTTACACAGATTTTAAGAACTGAAATACCCACTTGTTCCCATGTAGCTACTGCTTCACACAAGTTAAATTCATATGACAGTCCTTCAAGCTCTCCAGACTTTGGATCTTTCTGTTGTTGGACATAATCCAATACAAAAAAACGAGAAAGAGTGCAAGTATTCAATATAGCATTTTGCTAAACACTAAGACAAGAACTATGACAAGCTTAACACTGCCAATGTATAAAGTCAAGTAATCAGAGTGAGATCAATAAATAGTCAGAAGAGAGCATTTACCCATTTAGGTACAGTATCCCTGGGGAAGTTTATTGAGACTTGGCAATAATCTTTACCAGTAACAGCTTTTAGTCCCAATCCATTTGCACTCTGCATCATTACCATAGTATACACCAAATAAACTCTTCTAGTTATACGTTGTGTACCAAATCTAAAAGAAAAATATCGAGTTTGCATATATATACGAACAAGCAATACAGCAACTTATAAATTTCAATCCAGGACCTAAATGTACATCATTGATCTAAGTATGAACCTAAGCACCATGCCATCAGAGCGTCTATAGATTCCAACCACGTATCAGATATTGTGAGATTCTTAGCCTTAGAATATGTCTAATTGTGACTTAGGTTCCAGTTTGAATCGATTCCAGTCATTTCAGTGACAGTCCACTAAACTGAATCAGTTCTAATCAACTAATCTCCCGATTTAACCCGAAACGGATCACGAAAGCAACTCCTAAGTGATTGATTCTCACTGAAAACAAGCAAAAAGGGAGCAACACAAGATAATGAAGCTAACGAAGATCTCCAAAAGCAGATTTACTTACTACGCACTTCTGGAATCCGTTCTGCAATTTCTGCAACGCCTCTAAATCTTCATTGCCAAGCCGATTAGACTCGTCTAAACCCACGGAATCATCTTCTTTATCATTAATCATCGTCATACATTCAGAAAATCACTAATACACACTACAAAGCATCTACACTGGTACAAACGATTGAGTATACTTACAGAGATTTGAGACGCCAATAATGTAGATGAGAACAGCAGAGATTCCTGTAGTTAAAGCTAACAGGAATATCAATTGCAAAAGCTTCATCGATTTCCCAGAAAGTTTCAGCTTCGATTTCTCCAGGAGAAAGATGGATCTTCCCAAGTAACTACGCGAAAGTTCCGATCTACGAGTCTCAGACGAATGAACATTGATGGAAACAGCGTGCAGTCCCCATCCTGAAGTATGAGACTGCAAACATTTTGTTTCCCTTCCAAATCGCTGCGTAGTTAAATAAAGAGCCTTAAAAACGACAAAATAGTTAAAATAAACGCCACGCTGTTCATGTATATATTACTTATACGATTTTTTCTTCTTTTTTAACATCTACTTTTATTTATATAGAGTTTTCGATTACATCGAAGATACATGAAATTTTAAAACCAAAAAAAAAATTATATACTTGAAAGAACGAAATAACAAATTACATAACTAAGATTAAGAGAAAACAATAAATAAAAGAATTAAATCTTCACAATCTTTTTCCTTAAGATGCATTTTTAATGAAAGATTGTCAACTCTGTTTTTTCGTGATCTACTACGATCCTTAGATATGGCTATCACCGGTACGATGAAACTCCACAATTTTCGTCGCATCATAAACATCAATTTTTTTTCTTGTATAACATTGGCCAATACCCAATTTAGAACTAAAGATGTTCTTCGATTAAGAATCCAATGTATTAATCCTTTCGAAAGAAACAATATTTCAGATTGCCAATTTTCAACGATTATACGAATATCGTCATACAACAAAGATGATGCATCTTCCACTTCGAACCGTCGTCTCCTTCATGGTTTCCATGATTTCAGCGATGGCTCTAGTTTAAAAGATTCTTCCTTGACTATTGCAATTACTCGTCTATCTCTAGCCTCTAAACCTTCAACAATGTATATCAGTGGCCAGAAAAGACTTCCATGCTCTTGATCCTTGAATTTCAATGAAGCGTCGTTGCTTGTTTCGTTGCTTTGATGCTCGAATTTGATTTGGAAGGTTACTTCGCTACTCGATTTTGGATTGGAATGCTCTTGATCCTTGAGTTTTTTATTTGCAATGATGCGTTGTTGCTTGTTTCGTTGCTTCGATGTTCTTGATATGCGTCTCGTTGCTTCGCTGCTCTTGATTTAAAATTTTTGATTTGCAATGCTGCTTTCATGGTCTTGATGAGCAGTTTACGCGAGTGTGTTATATTTAGAGTGATATTTTTTTAGTAACCAAGTCATTTTTTTTTTGTTGCAAAGGAAAATATCTTTGGAGAGGTGTTTAAATGCACCATTGCACAAATCGCGTACGATGATGGGATTTTTTTCAGACGCCGAACCTAGCGGACAGCGGATCATCCTTGAATAACACTAATTCACTACTTCATCGAGTAATAAGTCTCAAGGTGAGTGGTAGAGCTATCTCTCTCTCTCTTTGCTTTCGGCGTAGAAAAATCCATAGCCAATCTTGTCTATTGGTCATTCCAGGACAGTGTGCCTATGGATGCTTTGGAACAATCTATGCTTTTCTCCAGAAGCTTCTATTGTGGCCTAAATGGAGCATACATCCAACCCTTTGTTGGATGATTACTTAACTTTAAACCGAAAGTTTTTTCTTTAGTATTGTATTGATCTACTTATGTTGGTACTCTTGATGTTCTTTGATACAGCGTTGCTACTCTGGATGTTGTTTTGCGGCTCAATGTTGCTTTAGGGG